AAATCCAGGTGCTCGGACACACGTTACCTCTCGAACGTACACGTGCTCACACCTTGATCGTCTTGCGTTCCGTTCGCTTGTATTCACATGTGCGTGACCGCCTCAGGTATGCGTGAATGACGGCGTGTGTGAAATCGATCTTTTCAGTTGACGAAAGGGTTGAACAATCTTATTGGATTGTGCATTGCCTACCACAACTGTTTTAATACTCCTATCACCTTATTTGCAAGAGGTTCCAATGTGTATAATCAGATAGTACTATAATAGAATGGAGAAAGGGATTTGGCATTAAGAGAAAAAAAAATTCAAAGAAACTACTACAACCAGAATGAAACGAAGACAAAGGCCAGAATTGAACCGTTATCTTCCCCAAATATCCGCACAAATTTTTACCCTTATTCTGTAACCCTCTACCAAAAGTACTCACACCCGAACTCAAGTAGAAATTTTATATACAATCCATCGATAAAGGTGCAGGTAAAATGATGGTTTAGTTTGGTTTCGTTTACGGCATATCAACAACTCAATTTAATATCGACATGATTTTTATTTCTGGTAATATTTTTTTTCAAAAATGTATTTCTGGTAATATTTTTTTTCAAAAATGTATTTCTGGTAATATTTTTTTTTCAAAGTTTATTTCTGGTAATATTTTTTTTCAAAATTTATTTCTGGTAATATTTTTTTTTCAAAATTTATTTCTGGTAATATTTTATTTCAAAAATGTATTTCTGGTAATATTTTTTTTCAAAATTTATTTCTGGTAATATTTTTTTTCAAAAATGTATTTCTGGTAATTTTTTTTTCAAAATTTATTTCTGGTAATATTTTTTTTCAAAAATGTATTTCTGGTAATATTTTTTTTCAAAATTTATTTCTGGTAATATTTTATTTCAAAATTTATTTCTGGTAATATTTTTTTTAAATTTATTGCTGGTAATATTTTTTTTCAAAAATGTATTGCTTGTAATATTTCTTTTTGAAAAAAAAAATTATTGCTCGTATTAATATTTTCTTCATAAATGTATTGCTGGTATTTTTTTCCAAAATGTATTTCTGGTAATATTTTTTAACAAAAATATATTAATGGTTTTAAAACGTATTTTTACACTTTCATAGTGTTTTGACCCCTCTTGGGGTTGGGTTAACTATTTGCCCATAGCTGGGACCCTAACAGGTGGTACCATCCCGAGTCAGAGTGGACCTGGAAACACCAGCAATTAAGAGGTGGTTCCACTCTACTCATAACCTTCTGATCAGAGGCCTTGGTGCTGGATGTAGTTTATCGTCTTACCCAGGACGCGAATGTAGTTTAACGTGGTAAAATGATTGATTTCAATACCGCTACAATAAGTACTTGACACCACATGCTATCCTATATGTTGTGGGGCTCTCCCCTTTTTACATAAGATGGACTCGTCTAAAGTATACTTATAATGACAGAGAGAATACCTGCGGTTGAGTTACGTCGAGATACAGTCTCGACGTCTGTCGAACTCTCTGCTTTGACAGACAGGAACCCGGACGAGGCTTTGCCGAAGGGCAAAGTTTCGTCCGGGGAGGTAGACAGATCCCGAACCCGCTTATGTGGTTTCAAAGGCGATATTTTGGGGGCTGAGCCTACGGGCTCGGAGAAATCCACGTTAAACTCGGCCTTGTGCCACATATATTCCACGTGGGTGGACTGTTAAATATCGAGATACGTTGAGATACGTTGAAATACGTGGAGACAAGTTGAGAGATACGGAGACAGACACAGGGTGTTCTCAGAGAGTTATACAAGAGTCCAGAGAGAGAGAGAGATGATTACGGCTTTACTTACAGAGACTTGTACATATACTTTCTACTAACCCGTATTCCTGGACTACTAATCTTCACTTCAAGTCTGTATTCTTACGTTTAATACAGTTATTTTTCTATCTCAATTACTGTGCAGGATTCACATTCACAGAATCCACAACACTATACGAAGCAGATCAGGTCGAAAATGAAGTACTGTTGCCATAATTTGTTCAGGAGTTTCCCAGTCCTCACTTTCTAATCTTGGCATAGTTCAAAAGTGTTTCCGATTCCTCGTTGGAGTGGAATTATTTACCATCCTTCAACCTATCTCAATCACAAACGGGATGTGCCGAGTCTCTCACTCCTCTACTATGAAAAGTGCTCAGCCGAACTACAGTCCTTGGTTCCGTCAGGTTATACCTTCACGGCTAGGACCCGACATGCTACTTGTATCAAACCATCTGCATGACCTCAATACTCCATAGGTGTAAGTTCCTCACGAAGAGATTCTTCCCACGAACTACTCTGTGGAACAGACTCCCTAGAGGATGCTTACTTGTTCAAGTCTAGAGTTATCTTCCCCTCCTATCCATATAAATTACCACTCAACATAAACCTTCACCTCCACTGTGCCATGTGTCCTTAAGGATAAAGGCGTTGGTTAGATCCAGTGACAGAAACCAAAGAGTAGTGAGTTTAATACCTGGTTAAGGCGGTGGAGAACTTGGAGAGGGGAATTAACAGGTGATAATTGATAACTGAGATCCATTAGACATGGCACGTGGAACTAGAACAGTCTACCCCGGCGAGCGAAATAAAGGGTTCCGTTCGACATTCCAACCACATGAAGAAGGCCAGAGCGTACAACGGCCGAAACGTTGTGATAAATATGGCAACAAAGATGAGGACAATAGTCCGAATAATGTAAATAGTGTACATAATACCTCATCTCAGAAATATAGATAGATATATATTATAATGGACTGCCCCGTCGGTTTCGACGTAAGAGGATCTGACAACCTAATTGATTCAGTTATGAAATTTTGTGCGATAATCTTTTAAGACCCGCTAGTGATTTACAAAGGAGGCCACATATGGAGCAAGAATGAGGGATTGTGAGGTGAGATCATTGTTAGATTGACTGACCTTTTAGATCTTGCTCTCGTTTCTTGAAGATGATTCAAACAAGCATATATATATATATATATATATATATATATATATATATATAATCGACTCTCCGTCGCGTTCGACGTATGAGGTCAGGCCGATAAGTCCCCAGAAACCGACATCCCGACACCGGCACATGAGATTTGTTTATAGTGGTGAAGGCCTTGTGCAGGACCAGCCACACTTTTGGAGGGACGAATACAGAAACCTGGTGCACCGAATGCATGCCACAAGGTTCCCAAACGACCCTCCGCAGGTTTTGAATTCAGAGTTGTCCTTCTCCTAGACCAGTTGCCATCCAAGGCTATAGAACCCAGTCTGTCCTGCTATTTTACCCATAGCTGGAGGGAGATGAAGAGGATACATACCTTTCCCAAGGGAGGAGGCACGGTGGATCAGTGGTTAGCGGCTTGGATTGAGGAATCGCAGAGCCGAGTTTGAATTCCAGTCGAATCCACTGCATTCACTTACGTGCTAATACCCTTGGGAAAAGTATATATATATATATATATATATATATATATATATATATATATATATATATATATATATAACATGACTCTTTAGGCTATACTCTACCATTACAAGGGCCAGATCAAACCAAGAATGGAATACTTCTGCCATATTTGGCAGGAGCTACCCAGTCTTCACTTATCTGTCTTGATAGAGTCCCAAAGCATCTTTGCGTCCTTGTAGGTTAGAAATTATTTTATACCCAGCAATCTCCTTTTCACAGTCGAAACGTCATGACCCTCTTACTTCTTTTTGTCATAAAGTGCACGATATCAAAAGTCATGGATAGAACATTACTAGAATTAATATGGAGAAACTTATCACTTATCTGTGTGGTGTTGCTTTAGTAATGCCGACTTCGAAGTTTCGTGAGCACATTCCAGTAATGCATTTACTTTTCAAGGCTGTTGACGTCTCTGAGTGCTTTCACGAAACTTCGAAGTCGACATGATTGAACCAACACCACTCACTGATGTGATAAGTTTTTCCACATCAATGACATATATATATATATATATATATATATATATATATATATATATATATATATATATATATATATATATAAAAGATAATCCTAAGGGCTTGTGCAAACCTACCTAGGTTTCACCTAAACGGATCTGGTTTCACCTGACGATCCGTTTAGGGCAATACTTCTTTTTTTGGGTTTCCTAACTCCTAGGGGATATCTTAGGGTTTTTCTACTTCGTGTATTGAGCACTTTTTTGGGGGAGGGACTTTGAGCTTGAACTCTGGACGATTGTTTTCGCCTTAGTTTTATGTTCTTGGTTCTTTCTTTTTTTTATTCCTCTTTTTTCCTTGGTACTCCGTTTCCTTCTAATTACTTGACAATCTTTTTTTCATTCCTAGTAGTCACTTGCATCCTAGTGGCATTATCGCATTGCCTAGGGTGAATCAATTAAAATATAGCAATTCGAAACAAGAAAGCGAACACACACAAACACAAACACAAACACAGACACACACACACACACACACACACACACATATATATATATATATATATATATATATATATATACATGCGTTTGTGTGTGGGCGTCTATATATGTGTGCGTATATATATATATATATATATATGTCTGTGTGTGTGTTTATCTATCTATCTATCTATCTATCTGTAGAGTTATTTGTGTTTTTTTTATAAATAAACCGTTGGATGGTAAGTGAGTAGAATTATCCCGATGAGACCGTGAGGTCGAAACCAAGGTCGCCTACTCTATCTGACCTCCTAATTTTTAAAGTTTTAACTATCTATCTATCTATATATCTATATATATATATATATATATATATATATATATATATATATATAAAAAATATATTAGGATATATATATATATATATATATATATATAAGGATATTTCACCGAAAACGTAAAAACCGCGACACAATTGCAGTCGAGTTTCGATGCGTATCAATGCATCTCATGAAGCGATTGTAAATTACTGGCGAGTGAGGATAGATTTAAAAGCAAAATGCAACCTCATTTTACGAAAAAAGAAAAAAAAAGGGGGGGTTATAAGGTTTTTGGTCTTTACTCTGATCAACCAATCAAATATGACCTACGTTAAATTTAAACTAAATGACGAAGCAAAAAGTCAAAATTATTTTAATTATTTTTTATATAAAGATATTAACGATACTACCAGGAAATTAATGCAAAATTATATTAAATCCAAATTAATCTTACCAATAAAAACATAACCCATATATCGTGCAACGCTGTACAACTAAATTATAAGAAAAAGCATTATCAAATTTCAAAGTTTAACTAAATTGTAAGGTAAAAGTTAACTATGTTTACAATTTAATATTAATTCACTTCTTTGATTTAATCAACTTTGATTTTGTCAAAATATCTGACGATTTCGAGGTTTTCATGCAATCCTAGTTCCTTTTGCGGGGATTTTAAGATTCTTTCTTTTTTCTTTTACTATCCTTCCTTACTCTTTTTTTTTCACTACATATCTTCAGTTCTTTCTTTCGTTTAATTCTTATATTAGCTTCTTTCTTTTATCTTTCTTTCTTTTTTCTTTCATTCTTTCTTTCTTTTTCCTTATACTCTTACTCTTTTATTTTTTTATTTCATCACTTCTTTCGTTCCTTGTTAGCTTGTTTCCTTTCGCTTCTTTCTTCCTTTATTTCAATTTTATTTCGATTTCCTTTCTTTCATTCTTTCTTTATTTTCTATTTACTACCAATCCTAGTTTCTTTTGCCATGATTTTAAATTTCTTCTTTTCTTTCTTCTCTTCTTTCTTCTTTTCTTTCTTCTCTTCTTTCTTTCTTATTTTCTTTCTTCTCTTCTTTCTTTCTTCTTTTCTTTCTTTCTTTCTTTCTTTTCTTTCTTCTTTCCTATCTTCTTTTCTTTCTTTCTTTCTTTCTTCTTTCCATTCTTTCTTTCTTATTTTCTTTCTTCTCTTCTTTTTTCTTCTTTTCTTCTTTCTTTCTTTCTTTCTTTCTTTCTTCTTTCCTTCCTTCCTTTCTTCTTTTCTTTCTTCTCTTCTTTCTTCCTTCTTTTCTTTCTTTCTTCTCTTCTTTCTTTCTTCTTTTCTTTCTTTCTTTCTTTCTTTCTTTCTTTCTTCTTTCCTTTCTTTCTTTCTTATTTTCTTTCTTCTCTTCTTTCTTTCTTCTTTTCTTTCTTCTTTCTTTCTTTCTTTCTTCCTTCCTTCCTTCCTTCCTTTCTTCTTTTCTTTCTCCTCTTCTTTCTTCCTTCTTTTCTTTCTTTCTTTCTTTCTTCTCTTCTTTCTTTCTTCTTTTCTTTCTTTCTTTCTTTCTTTCTTTCTTTCTTTCTTCTTTCCTTTCTTTCTTTCTTATTTTCTTTCTTCTCTTCTTTCTTTCTTCTTTTCTTTCTTCTTTCTTATTTTCTTTCTTCTCTTCTTTCATTCTTCTTTTCTTTCTTCTCTTCTTTCTTCCTTCTTTTCTTTCTTTCTTTCTTTCTTTCTTCTCTTCTTTCTTTCTTCTTTTCTTTCTTTCTTTCTTTCTTTCTTTTTTTCTTTCTTTCTTTCTTATTTTCTTTCTTCTCTTCTTTCTTTCTTCTTTTCTTTCTTCTTTCTTTCTTTCTTTCTTTCTTCCTTCCTTCCTTCCTTTCTTCTTTTCTTTCTCCTCTTCTTTCTTCCTTCTTTTCTTTCTCCTCTTCTTTCTTCCTTCTTTTCTTTCTTTCTTTCTTTCTTCTCTTCTTTCTTTCTTCTTTTCTTTCTTTCTTTCTTTCTTTCTTTCTTTCTTCTTTCCTTTCTTTCTTTCTTATTTTCTTTCTTCTCTTCTTTCTTCTCTTCTTTCTTTCTTCTTTTCTTTCTTCTCTTCTTTCTTCTCTTCTTTCTTTTCTTTCTTCTTTCCTATCTTCTTTTCTTTCTTTCTTCTTTTCTTTCTTTCTTTTTTCCTTTCTTTTTTCTTTCTTCTTTCCTTTTTTTCTTCTTTCTTTCTTTCTTTCTTTCTTTTACTATCCTTCTTTATTCTTCCTTTCTCTACTCATATGCGATTCTTTCTTTTTTTATTACAGATAGTAGTTTCTTTCATTCATTCATTCTTTCTTTCTTTCTTTCTTTTTCTTTATGCTCTTAATCATTGAATTTTTTCGTTTTACCTCTTTTTTTCTTGTTAGTTTCGTTTCTTTTCTTCTTTATTTTAATTTTATTTCCATTTCCCTCTTTCTTTCTTCGTTTCTTTCATTAACAATGGTAGTTTTTTCTTGCATTATTTTCTTTTTCAGGCAATATCTCATTCTTCTTTTCTTTTTTCTTTTCCATTTACTATATTTTTTCATTCTTTTTCCATTTTACTACTTTTTTCTTTCATTCATTCTTTTCATTCATTTTTTTCGTTTTATCTTTTTTTTCCTTGTTAGTTTCGTTTCGTTTCTGTATTTATTTTAATTTTATTTCCATTTCCTTCTTTTTTTTTACTTTCATTCATGAATAATGTTAGTTTTTTCTCGTATTATTTTCTTTTACAAAGCGATATCACATTCTTTCTTTCTTTCTTTTACTATATTTCTTTAAACTTTTACTAGCAATCTTACGTCCTTTCTTTGTTTTTTTCCCTTTTACTATTAATTTTTCTTCCTTACTTTACAATATTCTTTTTTCATGATTTTTTCTTTCTTTCTTTTTTCTTTCTTTATTTTTTGCAGTCTTTCTTTCATTCTTTATTCATTTCATTCTTTCTTTCTTTCTAACCTTAATTTCTTTATTCCATTATGTTTCCTTTTCTTTTTTACCGATATATATTTTTTCTGTGTATCTTTTACTCTCAATCATTGTTTCTTTCTTTCTTTCTTTACTTCTTATTTCGTTCGTCACCTTTTCTTTTTTTCTTTCTTTCTTTCTTTCTTTTACTATCAGTCGTTTTCCCTTCTTTCTTTACCAATCTTAGTTTCTGTCTTCTTTTAGTTATCGCTTTCCTAGCTATATCTCTTTCTTTCATTCTTTCTTTCTTTTTTCATTTATTACAAATCTAATTTACTTTCTTTCGTTCTTTCGTTCTTTTATTACGATATTTCTTCCTTTCTTTCTTTCTTTTTTCTTTCTTCTTTTCTTTCTTTCTTTCTTTTTTTATTTTTAACGGTTTTCATTTAACAGTTTTATTTTAGTATTTTCTCTTTTACCATCACTCTTTTTTTCTTTCTTTCTTTCTTTCTTTCTTCCTTTTACTTTTTTCTTTCTTTCTTTCTTTCTTTCTTTCTTTCTTTTTATTGACAATCATAGTTTGCTTCGGCCTTTATTTTATTTTCCCTAGCAAAATATATTTCTTTTTTTATTATCTTTCTTTAAAATATTACTAACAATCTTATGTCCTTTCTTTCTCTTTTTTCCCCTTTTAGTATCAATCTTTCTTCCTTAGTTTACAATATTCCTTTTTCTAATTTCACTCTCTTTCTTTCTTTCTTTTTTCTTTCTTTATTTCTTTCTTTCTTTCTTCCGATTGTTTTGTGTTTATAAAACGTAATGCACGTGACTGTCTCTCCCGCCACTCACAATTTGTCCAGGGGAAAATTTTCTCTTAGATCAGTCCATTGGTTAGACGCTACGCATATTTCTGGGCGACGGCGGACACGTGCAATTAAATTTCTACTACAGTTTGGCTGTTTGTTTGTGCGACCGAAACGGCATTGCGTGAGTTCGTGTGTGTGTGTGTGTGTGTGTGCGTGTGTGTGTGTGCACACGTGCGTACGTACGCGTGCGGGTGAGCGTGTGAAAATTAGTGAACAAGGTGTGCTTCAAATTTGTCATTTATATAAACACGTACACAAAGGCAAAAATATACCCCCCCAAATATATATATATATATATATATATATATATATATATATATAAATATTCTGTTTATGCGTGATTTTATAGATACAATTTATTTACGTAAACTAAACAGTATTACCCATTTACCGGTCTGAAGATTTAATTTAAAACAGACCATTTATTTAAATAAACTGTATTTATAAAAATATCTTATAAACAGTAAATATGTTAAATAATTACCGGATTTAATCCATTTCATTTTATGTTGTCATTGTTTACGTTAAGATACGTTTCATGAGCAGATATCGATCGATCGAGAAAAATCCTTGAACATTGTATGTTTATAAACAGTAATTTGAATTTTGCTAACCAGAGGCTTCACTGTAGCTAGCTAGCTAGATAGATAGATATTAAATTAAAATAATAGAGAGATAGATAGATAGATAGATAGATAGATATTACCAGACTGGAATATATGGATAGATATTGAACAGGATGTCCTAGAATGAACAGTTAGATATTAATAAAAATTAAATTATATATATATATATATATATATATATATATATATATATATATATATATATATATATTTAAGTTATGAAGAACTTGGTAATCCGTATAGGTAATCCCAAGGAGGATGAAATCCTGAGAGCTCAATGTAAATCCAGAGCTAATATTTAAAAAAAAAAACAGACCACTTTAAGGTACCATTATTATAATTTATTTCAATATATGGTGAAATAAATTATTATAGTCAATGTAATTTTAAGTCTATTTTTAAATATATATATATATATATATATATATATATATATATATATATATTTATATAGATAGATATTATATTATAGATAGATAGATAGATAGATAGATAGATAGATAGATAGATAGATAGATATTAAACAGGATCTTGATAGATAGACTTATAGATATTAACGGAATTAGTAAGATAGATAGATGGATTAATAACCTAGATATTAATAAACTGTGATGATAAATATTGAACAGTATATCTTAGACAGATAGACAGATATATATTAATAAAATTATATATATATATATATATATATATATATATATATATATATATATATATAGACACTGAGATAGATAGATATTGAACACTATGTCCTTGATAGATAGACTGATAGATATTAACTGATTTAGATAGATAGATAGATAGATATTAATAACCTCAGATAGATATATGTAGATAGATATTGAACAGTATGTCCTATACATATAGGCAGATTAATAAAATTATATACACAGTTCACAAAAACGCAGTTAACGTCAAAAAATATTAAAATAGTGCTAAATGCAATTAGATAGATAGATAGATAAGATGACTGTAATAGATAGATAGATAGATAGATAGATGCGAACAGAAAAGATAGATAGATAGATAGATAGATAGATGAATGAATAGATGGGCCGACTGTATTAGATAGATAGATAGATAGATAGATGAATAGATAGATAGATAACAGAATGGAATAGATGGATAGATAGATAGATGAATAGATAGATAGATAGATAGATAGATATATAGATAGATAAATATATGTAATAAATACATACTAACAGAATGAGATAGATAGATAGATACATAGATAGATAACTCGACTATAATAAATAATATTGAAAGATAGATAGATAGATAGATAGATAGATAGATAGATAGATGATACATAGATAGATAGATAAGTCGACTGTAATAGATAGAATCGAAAAATAGATAGATAGATAGATGAATAGATAGATAGATAGATAGATATAGATGAATGATGAATACGAACAGAATGGAATACATAGATGAATAGATAATTCGACTGTAATAAATAGATAAATAAAGGATAGATGAATGAATGAATAGATGAATGAATGAATAGATAGATAGAATAGATAAGTCGATAGATAATAGATAGAATCGATAAGAATATGATGAATGAATAGATAATTCGACTGTAATAAATAGATAGATAATGATAGATAGATAGATAGATAGATAGATAGATAGATGATAGATAGATGGATGGATAGATAGATAATAGATGAATACGATAGATTGGGATAGATAGATAGATAGATAGATAGATAGATAGATAGATATGAATAGATAGATAGATAGAATGAATAGATAGAATCGAATGTAATAGATAGATAGATAGATAGATATAGATAGATAGATAATTCGATAGATAGATATAGATAGATAGATGGATAGATAGATAGATAGATAGATAGATAGATAGATGAATAGATAATGAATGGAAATGTAATATAAATGAATGATGACAGAATGGAATAGATAGATAGACAGATAGATGAATAGATAGATGGAATAGATGAATGGACAATAGATGTAATAGATGATATAATAGAACAGAATGGAATATAATATTTTATAGATAGATAGATAGATAGATAGATAGATGAATAGATATATAATGAATATTGCCGACTGTAATAGATAGATGGATTTGAACAGAATGGAATAGATAGATAGATAGATAATTCGACTGTAATAAATAATGATACGAAAAAATGATAGAATAGATGAATGATAGATAGATAGATAGATAATAGATAGAATGAATGAATGAAATATCTGTTGGATGATAGATGAATGCGATAGATTGGGATAGATAGATAGATAGATAGATAGATAGATAGATAGATAGATAGATAGATAAGTCGACTGTAATAGATAGAATCGAAAAAGATAGATAGATAGATAGATAGATAGATAGATAGATAGATAGATAGATGAATAGATAGATAGATGAATGCCGATGTAATAATGAATTTGTTACGAACAGATTGGGATAGATAGATGAATGATAGATAGATAGATAGATAGATAGATAGATAAAATAAATGAACTGTAATAGATAGAATCGAAAAGAATAGATAAATAGATAGATAGATAGATTCGACTGTAATAAATATATATATATATAAATAGATAGATAGATGAATGATAGATGAATACATAGATAGATGGATATGCCGACTGTAATAATAGATGGACGAACAGAATGGAATAGATAATGATAGATAGATAAATAGATAGATGATAATAATGTGCCTGAATTTTAGATGGATGAGATGGATCAGATAGATAGATAGATAGATGAATGGGTAGATAGATAGATAGATGGATAGATGGATGGATAGATGAATAGATAATTCGACTGTAATAAATAGATACGAAAAGGATAGATAGATAGATAGATAGATAATAGATAGATAGATATATATGCTTGACTGTAATAGATGAATGGTTACGAACAGATTGGGATAGATGATAGATAGATAGATAGATAGATGATATAGATATAGATATGATAAATAGATGTAATAGATAGAATCGAAAGAATAGATAGATAGATATAGATAGATAGAATTCGATGTAATAAATAGATACGAAAGGATAGATAGATAGATAGATAGATAGATATCATAGATATAGATAATAGATATGATGACTGTATATAGATAGATACGAACAGAATGGAATAGATAGATGAACATATGGATGGATAGAATGAATAGATAGATAGATGGATGAATGAATGAATGGGCCAAACTGTAATAGATAGATAGATAGATGAATGGGTAGATGAATAGATAGATAGATAGATAGATAGATAATTCGATATCTAACATGCTGGGATGAAGAAATAGATAGATAGATGAATGAATGATAGATAGATAGATGAATGGATAGATAGATAGATAAATGGATGGGCCGACTGTAATATAGATAGAT